CCCCCATCTTAAGGGCGAAGCGAACAAATGCGCATTTTGCGCACGATTGTCCGACGTGTAACTAGGAACGACTGGGAAACGAGAGTGCCACCTCGGCCGCTCAGAGTTGGCATTATTGCTGGAAGTAGCCTAAACAGATCCACTCATTCGAACGATCGCGCACGTTGTCGTGTTGGATCATATTGATGCCATTATTGGTACTGGGTCTACTGTAAGTGTAGCTAAACTGGGTCTCACTGAAGAACAGTACAAAAGGAATGCGTGGCACTGCGGTGGACTGTGATGCGCAGATAACAGAGTTGTGAGCTGTGATGCCTGCTCACGGAGTAGAGCCAGATTTCAGCGTGAAAGGTTAGGGGACGGTTCTAACAAAAATAACGTGATGGAACAAATTCCAAATGACATGTTCATTGGGATAGATTGGACGTCGGCCGTGGGCGTGACGATACCAATAGGTGAAAAGGGTAACTATCCTAAAGTTGGGAGCGAAAAGAAAGATGAGCCGCTCACTGTGGAGGACGACCCAAGATACAGACGTAACGAACTATTCGAACATACGGTTTCAGTAGATGGACAGCACGATTCAAATTCTAGAAGTAGTGGCTAATGACAGAGCAAGAACCGGAGTCATCGAAGCGGTGGTACTGAAAGAGTGCACAACGACTGCCGTTAGGGACAACCAGGTTCATGCCAGTGCACCCACCACGAGCGGCCGATGGGACGCTACTTCTGAAGAACGTTTACAGCACGCAGGTCAACCTATAATGGGCGACACCGAGGGTGTGCATACGGTCAAGAGAGGTACTATTTACGTTCCAGTTACGTTTTGCTTTGCGAAAGGAAATGACCGATAAAAGGTACAGAACTATCAGTACCAGAAGAAAAGATATTCTCTATGCAGGCAGTTGCGAGCGCTCTGTGCGTGAAGAAATCACAAGAAGAACTGAAAACTGAGCCGACCAGATGTACTGAAGAGCGAGAAACCGAGGCCGTACGTCGACGGTGATCCAGTATCTATCGTACGCCGCAGGCATTGAACAAAAACCGTTAGGACAGCACGTGCTGCACGGGATGCGCAATCCTCTAGCGGGGCAAAGTAAAACGGCTATAACGAAGCGGAGGCTGCAGTAGCCCCCGCTCCCCCCCGCCCGCACGCCACCTCAGAGTGACGTTAGGAGAACAAAACGACAAGCTCTCACCTTCAACAAACGACCTGAAACGTGGGTCGAACATAGTATGGGGTGTTCGCCTCCAACAAACGACCAGAAACGAAGGTCGAACAGTGGAGAAAACGCTCGCCTTCAATAAAGGACCGA